CTTTAACCACTTGTTGAAATTCTTTAAAGGGGATGGGAAAGTTGTAAACATGCATAAAGTCTTCATAAGACAGAATGTTTCCTCTCTCATAGAACATATCTATAACAAAATATGTATTCCTTTCAAACCACCTATATGCAAAAATAACGATTTATTCCTAGTAGTAATATTGTTCCATAAAAGCATTTTATGTGGAGAAAAGTTGTGATGGAAACAAATTTTCCAAGCCAGTAATACCTGCTGGTGAAATTTAGATAATTTAATAGGTGACTTTCCTGGAAGAAAGTTACATTTCAGAAGAAAATATAACTCTCCAAGTTTTTGAAAGATACGTTGTGGGATAAAGAACCACATTATCATTTTTCAGAAAATGTCTTAACCAATTAATTTTAAAAGTATTGTTAATGTCAAAAAATCTATCATCTCTAAGCCACCTTCTACTCGTTTGTCTGATATAATGTCCTTTTTTAACTGGTAAGGTTTATTTTTCCATATAAAATCTAAGAAGGATTTATTGATATCTTTGGAAAATTCAGGGTAAACAAATCTAGAAAGACTTTCAGCTTTGGACAGTAATACTCTCCCAAAAATGGTAAAATCCCTTTGTAGCCAATTATTCAAGATATGTTTAGTTTTCTTGATTTTTTACCTAAAATTCAATTGTTCACATGTAATTTTATTTTTAGAAATATAGATTCCCAGAGTCTTTTACTGGTATATTTTCAATACATATGTCTATAGAATCGTGTATGTATAAAATTTCACATTTATGAAGATTAAGCTTTAGACCAGAATATTTAGTGAATTTGGTAATACAATCCAGGGCTGTTTTGACTTGATTTTTATCTTTCAAAAATAATGCAGTGTCATCTGCCAATTGAGAAATTTTGACTTCTCTATCAAATACGCTCTTAAAAATAAAGGTGCTTCAAAAGGTTCTTCAAGCGATGCCATAGAAGAACCATTTTTGGGTCCACAAAGAACCATTCAGTCAAAGGTTCTTTAGAGAACCATCTCTTTCTTACCTTTTTGTAATCTGAAGAACCTTCTTTCGCCACAAAGAAGCTTTTGTGAAACAGAAAGGTTCTTCAGATGTTAAAGGTTCTTTATGGAACCATTTAGACAAAAAGGTTCTTCTATGGCATCATGAAGCACCTTAATTTTTAAGAGTGTATGTTTAATCCCAAAATGCTTTGATTGTTCATTTTAATTTTAATAGAGAGAAGTTCAGCAACTAATAAAAACAGAAAGGGGGACATCGGACAACCTTGGCGTACACCACGATGGATTCCAAATCTTTTAGAGGTTCCCGTATTCAGAATAATAGAACTATTAATATCCTTGTAAAACATTTCTATAATATCAATGAAATTATTCCCAAACCCAAAAACTTTCAGAGAGTGAAGTAATGGTGCGTTCAAGTCATGTCAGATAGATCGTATTTACGAGTTGAACGCATATGAACGCCACCACAAACTCAAAATTTTCTTTAAGCCCTGAGTTTCCGAGTTGGGGGCGTGTCAATGAGAAACATGGCGGAATCGATGGATGCAACGTCTGTAGTTGACGGTAAATTTTTGTTTAAATTGATAGTTTAGTTTCTTGTTTACGCAGCTAGTTAATGAAATCCAAGTTTAAAAAATGCTATAATTTTTGCACCTATAGATGAAAAATCTTTTGATTTGCTATGTTGCATGTTGCATTTAGCTAACAGCTTTTTTTAATCTCTGTATTTTAGCATTTGTTGATGCTGAAAATCAGTTATACTGGAATCCTGGTCTAAAAAAAAATATTCAAAACGCAAAACACACCTTGCTCTTCATTTTCTATAAGCAGAGTTAACAGACCCTGTTGTATTTTCTTGTAATTTATTAAAAGAAGGTACACCACCATCTTGTGCCGACTAAACTGACTTGAACGCACCTGACGTCGTAATTACGACTTGTCAACTCGTAAGTACGAACGTCCCAGGAGGACTTGAACGCAGCATGAGAAGCCATGTTCAATTGTATCGAAGGCTTTACAAAAATCTAAAAACAAAATAAGAGCCCCTGACTCTATCAGGTCAGAATAGACTAAAAGGTCAAAAATAAGACGAATATTATTACTAATATGTCTATTTTTCATAAAGCCTGTTTGAGATTCATCAATAATTTGATCTAGTCCTGATTTTAATCTTCTAGCATATACTAATGCAATCAATTTGTAATCTGTATTCAAGAGAGTGATAGGTCTCCAGTTATCAATATCCAAGGGATCCTTATCTGGCTTAGGGATCAGGGAGATTAAGCCTTGTTTCATAGTTGTCGCCAATGCTTTCTTTTTAATACAATCATTGAACATTAAGACAAGTGGCTCTTCTAAAATATACCAGAAATGTTGGTAAAATTCAATCGAAAGTCCATCAGGTCCTGGACTCTTATTTTTTTTCATATGTCGAAGAGCTAACTGCAATTCTTCTCTTTTAAGATCAGAATCACAAAGATTTTTAAAGTCATTATTTATCAATGGAATGAAATGTTGAATATTATCAGTAAACGCTTTGCAGATATCATAATTAAAGTCAGATTGATATAATTTTTCATAAAAAGAGCTAACAAATTCTGAAATTAATTTAGGGTCCTCACATAAGGAGTTATTAATACACGATGCTGACAATGATTTTCTCTTAAAATTCCTTTTTTCAAGCGCAAAAAAATATGCTGTTTCTCTCGCCCTTTTCTATCCACTTAGCTCTAGAGCGCACGAAAGCTCCATTAACCTTGTTAGTATAGAAGTCATTAGGTTTTGCTTGTAAAGAATGGAGCTCACTATCCTGTATTGGGGAGAGAATCTGAACTTTCCAAAGATTATCAGTTTTATCCAACAATTCTGTTTCCATGTGGTCTCTATCCTTTTTTATTTCCTTACTTTGTTTAATAACCAAATGTCTGGATTTAAATTTAAATATCTCCCATTTAGAGACAAAATCTGTCATCTCTGAATTAAATATATCGGTGGCTAAAGCTTCAATATTTTTTATGAAAATTCTGTCTTCTAAAAGAGAGTTATTACATTTCCAGGCTGTTAGAAGTCTGAACAGTCAGCAAAGACATATCAATTAAGAGATGATCCGTAAAAGGAGCATAATGATGGGAAATGTTTTGAACATCTTGTAATAGATTGGATGAAATGAGGAATAAATCAGTTCTTGATTTTAAAGACTTTGATACATTACTCCATGTATATTCGTATGCATTGCCATTGTAACGCCATGACTTCAATGATATTACAACTTTGAGAGTAGGGATGCATTTTCTGTGGAAATCTTTCCATAAAAACATCAGGAACTTTGTTAAAGTAACCAGCAATGATTAACTTGGCATTCGGGGTTGTTTTCAGCATGTTACATAGTATGACAGAAATATTAGCAAAAAAGGAAATAAATATAGCATTTTCTGATTTAACAGTTAGTATAACCTATCTACCATCAGGGGAAGACTTGGAATGAATAATATCTCTTTTAAACTTATGAATCAGAACAAGAACACCAGCTGAATTATTTGACCCATGACTAAAATAAATCCTATCGCCCATTGAGCTTTCCAGAATTTTGTGTCAGCATCAGAAGAATGCGTCTCTTGTAAAAAATAAATGCGTCTCTGCATTATAACGTCTACAAAACAGGAAAATAGCTTCTCTTTTAGTGTTGTCTCTTAAGCCCCGCACATTTAAAGAAATAATTTTCAGATGATTAAACTCAAATTTGTCCATAAAGTATATGTAAATTAAAAATTAACAAAAAAATTACAGGAAAAAAGGAAGGAAAAGGAAAACTGTGATCCCAAAGTACACTAAACACTTAACTTGGAACTGCTGTAACGCTGTTTTGTAAAAGAAAATTTGAATAATCATTGGAATGTGGTCAAAAGCCCTTAAAATAACGGCAACATTTCAAACTAGGCAGACGTGCAGAAAAAGTCCAACCTGGAGTGAAGTCATTTCAAGGATACTGTGCTGAATTGGCAGCGATTCTCTTATTGTTAATAACAGCAAAGGGACCGCTGAAACCAGCCTTCTTCCCTTCTTTTCGAGCCGCCTGGACAAGTGGCCAGAGTTTATTCCGACTTTCAATGTCCGCTTTGGAGAGAAATTCTTTGATGTGGAGACCATTCTCTCTGAGGTAGAACCCTTGGCTTCCATTCATATGATGTTGCGGTGTTTCCTTGTCACGAAGCGAATGATGATGTGACGCCACGAACCATCCGGTCGTTGTTTGCCTACACGGTGAACCACATCCACAGCTTCCTCCAGTTTATCCTTGATCCGAGGGACCACCCTGGCAAGATGACTGATAGCTGTCATTCGAATGTTTTCGTCGTCACGTTCTTTCACCCCGAGTAGTTTCAAACACCATCTGCGGCTAAACCTTTCTAGATCTTCCACTCTGAGCTTAAGAGAAGCATTTTTCTGTTGAATGCGTTGTATCGACAATTCGGCCTTACCGATCTTTTCACCGTGAGAGGCAACATCTGACAGGAGTCGATTAATAGTGTCAGACAAAGAGTTCACCGCAGCCGTTGTGACCTCAATGGAGCTCTCAATGTGAGTAATCTTTTGAATAACCGAATCTTGCTTGGAATTCAGGTACTGGATGGCATTGAAAATCTCAGCTAGTGATACATCATTACTGTCTTTTTTCTTTTTCCCAGGGGGACTTTTGCTGGGAGTAAAGGATCGTTAAAATCCCTTTCATAATCATGTGTGACAAGTGAGGCATCTACACATTCGGATTCATCCATGTTTTGGCCGAATGATTCGCTTGACAAGCGCCTGTCCAAGTTCCACGACGTACGTAGGTTCCTATTAACACGTTTCTTGCCCATTAACTATCTGAAGGTGGATTCCAACTCGTATTAACATCCGCAATCAACGAGACACCATCTTGGCTCCCCCTTTATATGTGAAATTCTGGAGGGGACGTCGGATGGCGTCACGTGGTGACGTAAAGACGTGTGCCATTAATCGATCTATGTACTATGACATGTAAAACGGGAACATGAAAGGAATATTCTAAAAGCAACTCTCTATCTGAAAAGTGTAAGACAACTTTCTACTGTCTTTTTCTGTGCTGTTCCTTTCTTTGCTCTATCATTGTGTCAATCTTCTGCAGTAGATCATTCACCTGCTCTCTGTTACTCTGATCTTTATTGTTGAAGACGTGATATCTGCCTCCACACTGATCTACTAGATCTCTTAATCTACTGTTCTCCTCAATGAGCTCCTCTACAGACTCTCCTTCCAAATGATCTCCACGAGTGAAGAGAATGATGGTGTATTTTAACACCTCCTGACCAAACACCATCTCAATCTTCTGAAGAAACTGCTTCTCCTGATCAGTGAATCTGTCATCTACTCTGAGCACAATGAGAAAAACGTGTGGTCTAGGACTGGAAAAATGCATACTTCTCGCTATTGCTTTCTTTAACTGCCCAGGATCCATCTGTGAATCGAAGAATCCAGGAGTATCAACTACAGACATTGATCTGCCTGAAACAGTGGCGTGAGCGACTGAACATTCACGGGTTACTGAATCCATACTCCTCTCAGATCTGAACCCTTCCCGTCCCAGTATTGTGTTTCCAGCTGCACTCTTCCCAACACCAGTTTGACCCAGAAGAACAATCCGTCTGGAGGAGAGACTGGGGAGACTCCATCTGGTCAGTCTCATTCCATCTATAATAAAAGTATTATTATTATTGTTAGTAGTACATTTTTTATATTTGCCTTGGTATTATTTTCACAAGTAAGGAGTAAATATATAACTCTCAGTGCAAAACTCCAATATGATCACATTTATACACTTCTCATACTTTCAAAATCACAAAACAAGATCATTGTATGGAGTGCGAATATTTGGTTTAATCACTAAACTGTATGATCTCCTTTCTGAATTTTCAACAATTGGTTCATTCAATAGCAACGCAAATCACATAAGAGAATCACATAATAAGAGTTTTGGAAATTTACCTTACTTGTGAAAGTACTATATATATATATATATATTGGCAGAAAACCACAGGGAGAAGCTTGTTTTTTATTTGTTGACAACAGATTTATAAATGACTGTCATTGCAAGTTTGAAAAGATAGGTGGCACATGTTCACAAACGCACATTAAAGCAACTCAAAATCAGAACAGATGCAGATGAATCCAGCCAATTGTGAAACAGCTGTCTTGTTGTTTTGCCTGTAATCAGGGATGGGCAGTATTTCTGATAAATGTATTTAAAATACGTATTTGAAATACAAAATACTATTTTGTATTTAAATACCTTTGAAAAAAATCTAATGTATTTTGTATTTAAATACATTTAAGCTTAGTATTTTTGTATTTTCAAAATACATAAAATACTTTTTTGCCAGTCAACCGCTATATTACGTAGTTGATTTCCTGTGTCAACTAGTTCAGACATGTGAGCTGCAGCTGTGCAAGTCCATCTAGATTTGGGTAAGGTGAATTTTCATGATTCCTGTAAGGAAATAAGGAATAATGCTGCCTTTGTGTGCAGAAATTTCCTACTTCCCACTTCTGAAGTTGTGATTACGAGCTTGTCGCATTGAAGTGCTTTGCTGTCAGAAAGAATCATGGAGGACTCTAGGTTTCTTGGGGAAATTTTATTAAAGTCAAAATCTTTTGAAGACATTTAATTTTGAGTAAAATGTCCCATTCGTTGTCAACCATATAAACATTCACTGCACTATTTACATGGTCAGCTTGACAATTCTGATTTTCTGTCAAATGCATGCTATTTTGCTGTGTATAAAAGATACAAAATGCTTGAAATAGTTATTGCAGTTATATATGCACTACATCAAAATGAGGTGATAAACCATACCTGTCACAGCAGCAACTGTTTTCCCCATGTTTAAAGCTTATGGCCAGTGCAACTCAAAACTGTTGGATATGAAATCTATTTCCTATCAAGGGAAAAATAACATTATCACCAGCACTGGACATTAGCGTTAGCCAGTCAGACTTGATAGTTTTTTAGTTTTATTTTGGTTAAATTTTGGTTTTATCAACTAGCTAGTCAGTTGTATTTCTTAAACTTTAAGCATTACTGCTTGCTATGGCTGGGTATATATGACAATATAGCTATATGTTGGTGATTACATATCATTAACACATCCCTTCACACTGGTGTTTTTCCCTCAGCATTTAGACAGGCTCATATGACCCCACTACTAATGAAACCCACCCTTAACCCATCTCTTTTAGAGAACTACAGACCAGTTTCCCTTCTTCCTTTCATTGCAAAAACACTTGAACGAGCGGTGTTCAACCAAGTCCCTGCCTTTCACACACAGAACAACCTCCTCGACAGCAACCAGTCTGGTTTCAGAAGTGTACATTCAACAGAGACTGCCTTTCTCTCAGTTGTTGAAGCCCTAAGACTGGCAAGAGCGGATTTCAAATCTTCAATACTTATCTTGCTGGATCTGTCAGCTGCTTTTGACACGGTTAACCACCAGGTCCTCCTGTCAACCTTACTGGCAAAAGGCATCTCAGGAACCACACTCCAGTGGTTTGAGTCTTAGCTCTCAGATTGGTCCTTCAAGGTATCTTGGAGAGGTGAGGTGTCGCAACAGCTAACTATTGGGGTGCCTCAGGGCTCTGTTCTTGGACCACTTCTCTTCTCTGTCTACATGGCATCACTAGGTTCTGTCATTCAGAAACATGGCTTTTCATATCACTGCTATGCTGATGACACTCAACTCTACCTCTCATTCCATCCTGATGATCCGACGATAGCTGCTCGCATCTCAGCTTGTCTAACAGACATTTCTTGCTGGATGAAGGACCATCACCTTCAACACAACCTGCCTAAGACAGAACTTCCAGCCAGTTCTATCAAACCTTTACAATTAATCCAGAACGCGGAAGCAAGATACATTTTTAATGAGCCGAAAAGAATGGACATCACACCTCTGTTCATCAATTTGCACTGGCTACCAGTAGCTGCTCGCATAAAATTCAAGGCATTAATGTTTGCCTACAAAACCACCACTGGCTCTGCACACCTTTACCTAAATTAATTACTTCAGACTTGTATGCCCTCTAGAATCTTGCATTCTGCAAGTGAACGTCACTTTATTGTGCCATCCCAAAGAGGCACAAAATCACTTTCACAGACTTTAACTTAAATGTTACCTCCTGGTGGAATGACCTGCCCAACTCAATCCGAGCAGCTGAGTCTTCATCTTCAAGAATCTGCTAAAAACACATCTCTTCCATCTTTATTTGACCCTCTAACTCTAGCACTCTCTATTCTAATTCTATTCTACTTTATCTATTTATGTTTTTATATAAAAAAAAAAACCTAACACTAGCTTTCTATTTTTTTTCTATTCTATCTACTTGTTTTTCGACTTTTAAATTAAATGTTCCCTCCTGGTGGAATGACTTGCCCAACTCAATCTGAGCAGCTGAGTCCTTAGCCATCTTCAAGAATCGGCTAAAAACACATCTCTTCCATCTTTATTTGACCCTCTAACTCTAGCACTCTCTATTCGAATTATATTCTTTAAAAAAAAAAAACATGCCCCTTTTAGACTTGCACTCTATTTATTTACTAACAGCTTGTTTTCTTTTTATTTATTATACAATTAACAAAAGCAACAAAAAAATGCCTCTAACACTAGCTTGCTCTATTCTTTTCCTATTCTATCTTTTTATTTATTTTTTTCGTTTTATTTTTATTTATTAGATGATTTTAAAATTTTTTAAAAACCTGCTACGTCTACTGCATTAAGCTAACTGAGACATGTTATAGCACTTGCATATCATTGCTCTTTTGTTGATTTTGATTGCTTCCATTGTCCTCATTTGTAAGTCGCTTTGGATAAAAGAAAATAATTTCTGCCCAAAAAAGTTTCAATCTTTTTTTCTTTTTTTTTTCTTTTTAAATACAGAAGTTAACAGTTTAGTCAGAATTTAATAGTGTGATGTAACACCAATTTACAATGTTAAGATTATCTTTATTTGGCTTATGTAAATGAGTGACAAGACCTTGTTTCAAAGCCCCCAAATGCCTGAACTAGCAAGCACAGCCTCACTGTAAACATCAGAAAGAAATTAAATGTGAAATATGAAATAAATAAATAAGTTTATTCTCACCAATTTCATGTCCACTATTTTTCAGGTATCCCCTGTGTCTTAATTCTGCTGCAAACATTTCTTCTTTTCTCCTGTGCAGTGCTGCTGTTAATTCTAAGCAGAAGAAACAAATACTTAGAAACCCAGCACCGATGAAATACAGGAACTAAGAAAACAGGAACAAATGAATGAGAAAGTTCTTAACAAAAGTTTAGAGATAAACCAAATCAGACTGGTGGGATTCTTCATGTTCTGTGTTCACAGTCCAGGTAGGTTATGTTACATATTTTGTTTTCAATATTTTGAATGTTTTATGTTATGAAATGTTCTATCTACACACACAAAGGGTTGGAACCGTCTCGGTGAACTGTCCTTATAGCATTTTTGATATATGAAAATGATGCAGGTGTTGACGATCTTGATAGAGAGGTTTGTTGTTGCGAGAGACCACAAAAATGATGATTCACATTTGTTGGCTAAATTCAAAGATATTTACTTTAGGTGTTTTTATGAGTTATTATGCCTGTTAAAACTGTGATGCAGTTACAAGGTGATCACAGATAGAATAAAAATAAATGTTGTCATCACTCGCGTGAATGTATGTGAGAAAACATTACTTTAACTATAACTATAACTACTTAACTATAAATGACTCGCAAAGATGGAGCAAAATGAGTAAAACGAATGCTTATGGTTCATATTATAAATGAAAACACATCAACAATAAATAATACTAGCCTATTACAAATTAACTTATATTAAACATGGAACTTTTATTAACAAAATAAACGAGTGAATAAAGGATTAACGCGAATAGGCTAAAAAAATGTTCTCCTTACTTTAAACCGCTTACAGTTTGTGATTCATTATTATTTTTAATGAAAACACATCAACAACAAAACAAAGACGAACTCACTTATGTTAAACGAAGAAATACAAACACAATGTTTATTAACAAAAGTTATTTTTTATTTAAAAACACCTTCAGGAGAACTACTATTCAAAAAATTATTCATATGTAAAACCAGATAATGTAATGAGAAAACATTGATGATAGATAGATTCTGACTAGAACCAGAAAATCTGAGCATATCACACCAGTCCTCAGGTCCTTACACTGGCTTCCAGTTATATTTAGGATTGATTTTAAAGTACTTTTACTCGTTTATAAATCATTCAATGGCCTAGGACCTAAATACATAGCAGATATGTTCACTGAATATAAACCAAACAGACCACTCAGATCATTAGGATCGAGTCAGTTAGAAATACCAAGGGTTCACATAAAACAAGGGGAGTCTGCTTTTAGTTATTATGCCGCCCGCAGTTGAAAGCAGCTTCCAGAAGAGATCAGATGTGCTAAAACATTAGTCACATTTAAATGCAGACTCAAAACTCATCTGTTTAGCTGTGCATTTATTGAATGAGCACTGTGCGATGTCCGAACTGATTGCACTATATTTTATGTATAATCGTTTTCTATTCTTAACTGTTTTAAATTCATTTTAAACCTCTTAAATCAATTTTTAAATCATTTTCAAAGTTTTAAATTCCTTGTTTTATTGTTGTGATTATTTTTTTTCATTTCTTTTATGTAAAGCACTTTGAATTACCATTGTGTATGAAATGTGCTATATAAATAAACTTGCCTTGCCTTGGAAAACGCTATATACGCTTAAACGCTTAACGCTTAAAACGAGTTCAGATGCAAAAGCCTGTAAGTGACACCTGAAACTTCATAAAATGAGCGTTTTTATCAGGCTCCCATGTTTAGGTTCAGTAATTTCACTTAAATAGGTTATTTTGATTGCAATTAATGTGAAATAACCATTACTTCACGTGGCTCCTGCGGCTCTGCGCTGCTTCTCTTCTATAGCTGAGACGCATCTCACTTTATAACTGTAGCATCAACTGTCCAATTAAACTAAATTGATTTTATTTCTTAAAAAAATAATAATAAAAAAATAACACTAAGTATCTACACTTATAGTTATTTGTACACTAAGTATCTACACTTATATTTCCTAATTTTTATCATATTGTGTTTGTAGTTGCATGTTGCCAAACTTAACATGTCCACCCTGTCATAGTAAAATATTAATTTACATAAAAGTTTTTCAGAAATTCAAAATATATATTTTAAGCAGTACACATTCAGCTTCAACAATGAACCACTTTGCTGACTGAAAGTACACCATGTGTTTATTAAATGCTAACTTTAACCAAAAATGTCCACCCATGGACATGGTGGGTAGGCTGAGTACAGTAGAGACACTTTCTGCTTTTTTCATCACCATACAAAAACTAGATGCTGAAATGAAGTGATTTTTCACATGATATTTCTTTTGCTTGTGTACTAAAATATCATAAATTAATAATAGCCATAAGTAGTTTATATTTTCCACAATTAGCTCATAAACATAAGGTGCATTTTTGTCTCAATTGTACCCATATGGTGTACAGTTGAAACAGTACCATGGTACAGTTGAGACACCCATTCTTAATGCTCTAAAGCTGGCTAACCATTTATTGCAAATGTAATAAATGACAAAATGACAGTTTTAAAAATTACAGTTTAAAAATAAATTAGTTTATTTGCTTTATTTAATTTAGAATCAGTTAAACAAAATAGGAACAAATATTTAACACTAGAAAAGATATGGCAAAGAGTACAAATGTAAACATAAAAATAACAATACACACCTGTATATTCTATAACCCTACCCCTAAACCTACACGTCACTCGAAACTTTCTGCATTTACATTTTCAATCATTCTGTATGATTTATAAGCTTGTTTTATCATGGGGACCTAAAAAAATTCCCATAAGGTTAGAATTTACTGGTATTACTATACTTACCAGTACACAAACACACAGCCTCTGAATATGCATTTTATTTTCTATGATTGAACTGTTACTGTATACATACCTACCTAAAGGGTGTATCAACTGTACCCACTTTACCACCTTGCATATTTCTTAAAATGCTATGTAATCCTTTAAACATTCATGTTAGAAAATATGTCCATTAATAACAGACAGTTGAAATATCACAAATATAATTTTTTAACAGAATTTGCGTAGCATATGTGTAAATGTGACTTTTATCCTATTATCATAACACTGTACAACTAAACAGCATGTGAAGCAATAGGACACCAATCCGGGTCCAGTTGATACACTGTGTCTCAACCGTACCCCACTGACATGCTCGCACGTTTCTCCAGATTATGAAAAGAACTTGCATGGCACAATGTCATACAATATGTCTATTTTTAGAGCACAGAGTAACGTTTGCAATGATATATTTTAAGTTTAACAATCATAAAATAATAATAAGCTATTCATTGTGGAAGGGACATGGTGAAATGAAAATCTCACCTTGGAAAAAAAACTTTTGCCGATATCTTCGGAGTGGAAAGACACACACATTTCAAATTTCCCACAATCAAAGAGAACACTAATACGCATGTGTGGAGCAAAAATCACGGCTCGGGATTCTTGTATACAGAAGTTATTTAAGGTGTTTCAACTGTACACATGTCTCAAATGTACTCAGTCTACCCTACATGACGGGGGACATGTGCATAGTTTTTGCCAAATTCTGATAATGTTTTAACAAGGGCTATTGATTTAACATGTTAAATTGGTGTGATTAATTATGGGGGAAAAAAATGTTGAATTGATAAATGCATTTAATGCACCCCAGCCCAGAACATTGCATGCAGTTGCTTAGTTAGTCAACGACTCACTGTGATGTAGCCTATTAGAATGCAGTTAGAATGTGCCTAACATGTAGACTATTAAAATGCAGTTAGAATTTGCCTAAAATTCAAGATAAGTGGGCAAAAAATGCCCAAAGCAAAAGTGCCATTTTCCTGAATATCTGCTCGATTGCAAATGTGATATTGACTTTATACAACAGTTCAATAAACAAAAAATAAATAAATAATAATAGTTAAATTTTAAACACAATACTGTCAATATTGTCTGTTTTTGTTCTATTTCTCCAAAGAAAATACAGGGTTCGTAGTTCGTACAAGGTGCTTAAAGTGCTTGAAGTACTTGAATTTGACTTTTTCAAATTTAAGCCCTGTAAAACCCTTGAAAACTGACATTTATGAAAGGTACTTAAAAGTACTTGAATGTTTAAAAGGCAGTATATATAAAATTAGTATTACTTTTTGTTTTCGATAAAAATAATATCTTCTCGCAAAATTAACTATGCACCATTTATATGGCCTTATAAATGTAAAAATGCCCTTTTAAATTCATTTACAATTTTCAATTGAAGTGTAGAATATATATTTCTGAAATCATTCTTTATATTACTTAAGGGTTTCTTGTTGTTCCTGTTGTTTATCTGATGTCCTCTTCACCCATTAATGCATTTGTCCACCCTGTCATCTTCATCTTTTATGAAAATAAACAAATTATTTAAACAAGTTAGCCAAACCTTTTGTGTGATTTCTTTATAAAGAAATGAGGGCCAGTTAGTATTCATTGAAAGTTTGACCAGATATATTTGTCGTTTGATTTTATTTAGAAAAGAAAGTGCAACTTTCGCGTATTTTATAGGGATACAAATATGTTGCAGTAATTTCAATTTTTCGAAAGACTTTTCCCACTAAGTAAAATGTATTGCTGAGAAAGGGACAAATTGTCTTTCTGAAAATCTACATTTTATCATCATTATGTAATGAAAATATATATAATCTATTTTGAATTTGTCCATGACAGGGTGGACATATCTTGTGGTTTACTCGAAAATTGTCTGCTTGCAGTTATTTTATAAAAAGTGCAGGAGCTTGACCAATATGCATTTCTAACTGCCTACAGTCTCCTTAATACAACAAATATAAAGTTTAATAGAACATCTCATATTTTTGTTTTGGAAATTGTGAAGTCTCAAAGGCACTTGATAGTGATATTGACCAAAGAGAGCACACAGTACACACAGTACACACTTAGGGCACAGTGACCCATACAGTATATATATATATATATATATATATATATATACATACACAAAATGAATAAATAAATACATATATAAACATTATAACACTATATTTTATATGTATAAGAACTGACCAAAACCTATTAACAATAAAGATGAAATGTAACTATCACTGTCTTAACAAGTACACTTAAAAATAAAGGTGCTTCACGATGCCATAGAAGAACCTTTTTGTCTAAATGGTTCCATAAAGAACCTTTAACATCTGAAGAACCTTTCTGTTTGACAAAAGGTCCTTTGTGGCGAAAGAAGGTTCTTCAGATTACAAAAACGCAAGAAAGAGATGGTTCTTTAAAGAACCTTTGACTGAATGGTTCTTTGTGGACCCAAAAATGGTTCTTCTATGGCATCGCTTGAAGAACCTTTTGAAGCACCTTTATTTTTAAGGGCTAGTTAAATTAAAAACAAACTAATAAAACTGAACTGAGTATTCTGAGACAAAAAAAGAGACAAACCTGATTATTGACGTCTCTCTCTCTCTCTCTTTATGTACCTGGGTTTTTGTCAGTCTGTCAAGCTACTATCTGCTGTTCTTCTACACAGATCTGTTTTTCTTGAAATCATGTGACACAGTCACACTGCTTGAAGTGAAAACAAGTGAAGGGGGGTTTTCTTTTGCAGTCACGCACTTGGTTTGATTTAGGCTACTGATAGTTGCATAAAAATGCTGTAAACTTTAAATTCATAACAGGTTCTTCTGAAGAATTTATGATCTTGATGACTCTGGATTATTGTAGCCTAAATAAAGCAGTGGGTGAACACAGTATGTAAAGAGGGAATCATGTCCAGCTGTCCATATAAAGTGTTTCCACAAAACTTAACATGTACAGCCATTCAAATCTTTCTGAAAACTGTGAAATCCTAAAGGTGTAAATACAAAAATAAAAATCTGAAAATGTGCCTTGTGTAAAATTGTCTCATTATTAAAAGCAGCTCTGAAATACACAGCACAGACACAATAACAGCTCCTCTGTGTTAAACTCATGTTTGTGGAATTGTTTAATCTTCCTTTGATCAGATCATTTGAGATTTAGGGACTGTTTACACGACACCGTTTTCGTTTTTCATACGTTTTGGACATTCATCTACATAATGTTATTTGGGGGCCTGTAAACACAATCTTTTGAAACGCTTCCTTCAGTTTTTAAACCAACATACAGTGGGTACGGAAAGTATTCAGACCCCCTAAATGGCTGCAATATAACAAAGAGTGAAAAATTTAAGGGGGTCTGAATACTTTCCGTACCCACTGTATTTATCGTCTCTGTGTAAACTACAAAACATGAATCAGTGAAACAGTGGCTTCATGTGCGTATGTGTTTTGTGTTTAATCAATAGGCATGTAAACAATGCCAATGCCTTTTTATTTTTAGTTTATTTCATCTACTAATCCGTTTGATGTTTTATAGTGAAAGTTAACAATAAAATACAAGAGACTTTAAAGAAAAGAAACAAACAGGCTTATAATGACCAAACAAGCGATTTACTTAGAACGTGGGTGTGTACAGATGAAGCAAGGAGTGTGTGAAAACAGACAGTGGAAGAAATAACGAATCTAGAACTGATTTCCACAACTGGAAAGAATGACTTGATTTGAATGATGAATATACATATCTTTTAAATGCCTTCCTTTTTTCCCCCAAGTTTTTCAGGTACATTGTACAATTGTACAGATTTAACTTAAATTTAAGGTTAAAAAACTTTTTTTTAAGTGATATACCAGCACGTAAGAAAAATGGTTTTAAACCGTACCAAATTAGGATTCTTCAATAGCAGAACCCCCTTTGGTGCTGAATATAACCCTTTTTTCTGAGGTTCCACATGCTTTGATTTATTTAATGTATTCATTTAAATGATGCGACATTGGTATCTGAATGAACCAGCACAATATAAAGTAAGAGTTAAACAGAATAATGAAATGTCTTGATACATTATTGTATAATTGACCAATAGTTCATTTATGTTTTCTGATGAAGGCCATCACTATTTAAGGTGAGCTCGAAGACTAATTCCATTAAAAATTTGCTCTTCATGGCATTTTGGACTGATGCAGAGTTTTAGCATTTTTGAAGTATTATAATGGAACATCTTAATCTCCTCTTGAAATAGCTATACATATTAATTACACAACGACAATGTTACTATTGTGACAGTTTACTTCATTTGAGCCTTAATTGCAGATCACTTTTTAATATCATATTCCCTATGACAATTGATGATTGCCAACCACTAATTGTCCTGTATGTCCTGTTCTTACCAAACCAAACAAAAACGTTTCACTTAAATAATACATGATTATTGTTCCACACGATTGTTGATAATAATAATAATAATTAACTAGTTACTAGTTAATTAGATTACTAATTACTCTTTCTAAAAAGTATTGGATTACTAATTACTTTCTAAACCCCAATATCAGCCTCAACCAGTTGAAAAATAAAAGAATAGACACAAAACTACACTTTTAATGATTTCAAATAAACAATGTACAATGGTATGAATTATTCTTCAGCTGCTCACAGTGTGTAAGGGGAGAAGGTTACATTAAAAAGATACATTTTAACATGATGATAAGTCCACTTTTGTCTGATATAGAATTCTTATGTAGTCTATACAGTATTTAATGCAATTGCATCAGAAATCACTGTAATTAAGAGTAATCCCTTACTTTACTTTTTCGAGCAAAAAGTAATGAAATTACAGTAACTAATTACTTATGTAATTAATAACACCCAACACTGCTCCTGAACAAGAACACATGTGAAGTCCAGTCCAGGAATGAGGTGGAGCCAGCAGAAGTAAAGGTATAGAAGGCATTTTAACCAAGTGTGAACAATTTTACAATGCTAGTGTGCTTTCAGTCTGTGCTGTTATCACAAACCCACAATTAGCTGAACATTTCAACCTCTTTCGGTGGAAAGCCAATACAGATTGCTAAACGGTAAGGTCATTCTCATGAGTAGACTTGTTTTTTTTCTTAATCATATACTTTAGTTTTTGCACTGCCACTGTAAAATGTGTTATTTTTAATTGTGCAACTATCATTTCTGTATAACAGAATGGTGACCGACAATAGTAAAAATTAAAATGCCAAAATAACAACAAACAAAATATTTAAAAAATAAATACATGATAATATGTCTTACTCTTAATGTCAAGTTTTCAGTTGAACTGTAACTGTTTTCAGCCTTACATTGTCTTTATTGCAGATGAAGTTGGTTTGATTTATTTCTCAGTATTCGTCAAATAAATGGATGCTACATGTTGCAACAGAAATACATTTCAGGAATATACTTTATGCATGCTTAATTTAGCGTTTGTATGTATGTACCAGAATAAAGGTCAACATTATTTAAATAAAATTTTTCTGTTTTTAAGAGACACACCATAATAAATAAATAAATGCATTTATTATAGGCCTACAGATAATTTACACAGTAGTAGGGCCTATAGGCCTACTCGCTGTTACAGTCATGGCTGCATCATTATATTATAATTAGTACAATACCATTATCATACCAATTTTTAAAAATACGTATTTTTAACACAATGTTCTTCAACAGATTTGAGTGGACACAATCATTGTCATACAGCTCTGACAGCAATTGAACGATGCAAGATATTGCTAAACTGCTGCTAGCTAAAGCATCTAAAGCAGTTACTGAATGGAAATAATCAATAACGTTACCAAATTGTAACAAAGATTAGGCTTACTCTGAATTTAAAGCCTTCGTATTTCAAGTCGTTACTACATTATCACGAGAAAACTCCGGTGCGAAGGTAAGGTGGAAGTACAAATACAAGACAGTCGATACATAAACACTATTTCCTGTAAAACTGAATAAGGGGGTTGTTTTGTTTCGGTTGTTTGTTTTTAACTCTGTTAATAAATAACTATATATATATAGACACACACAAATTTTGATTTTGATGGCTCCAACACATGCCAAAAACACATACACACACACACACACTATCTTAGTGAGAATATTACATAGACTCCCATTGATTTTATATTAGGTCAATGGTACTTTCTATCACCTAACACTAACCCTACCCATCACAGAAACGTGAAGAACACTAGATTTAAATAAAATCATCTTTTGGCCAATTTAAAAGGCTTTTAAAAAGTGAGGTAAAATTTTCCCCTGTTTAATGTAACATCCAAGTAACCAACGGTAAATATATTTCTGGTGCTTTTCAGTGATGGAGAATACCACTCAAGATATCAATCTTCTGCTGATTGGTAAAACTGGTTCAGGAGTGAGCGCATCTGGAAACACTATACTGGGAAAAGATGCGTTTCAATCCAAAAAAAGCTCAAGCTCCATCACTGACAGCTGCCAAAAACACTCGGTCGAAGTGTCGATGAGAAGAATTACAGTAGTCGACACCCCAACTTTCTCAAATTCCCGAAACATTGATCTGAGTGTGGAGTTAAAGAATGGATTGAAGAAGTGCCCTCCAGGAATCCACACGATCCTTCTGGTTCTCCCTTCACACAAAACACAAGCTGCTGATGTCCTGTCCTTATTCAAGCAGATGTTTGGTCAAGCAGATGTTTGGTTTCACCTGCTGAACAACAAAGATCTGAACAACAGAGATCAGGTCACAGGCCTCCTGATGAAGATCGACCAGATGGTGTCTGAAAATCAGAACAGCTGCTACACTTTACAAATGTTTGAGAAGCAATCATTTAAAATATTTCTGCCGGGATTTATAAAGACTGAAATTCTGTATACAATCTTATTTATCATGTGCTTCTTTGCCATTTTGTGTTGTGTTGAAGTGCGGAAAGAAGGTTCTGAAGCATTGATGGTTGGAGTAGTTGATTTTGTGTTGGCATTCATATGGATAACCCTGAGCTGGTTTATTGGGCGATGTACATACAAACATCAGAACAAACTGCTGGCTATCACATGTGGTGTTGTTGGAGGGATCATTGGAGGAATCATTGAAGGGTTTCATGGTCAAGAAGGTATTTGGGCTATATTCTTGAGAGGGATACAGTCTTATGTCAGTCTTATGGTACGCAACATGGCCTCTCACACTTGAACCAGTTATCAGTGGGTCATTCTAAACCCCAGGTGAACATCTTGCTTCATGTTTCACACTGCTCGTAATTAACACGGGGTTAACATTTACTGTCACTGATTAGATGAACACAACACACAAAATGTTTACATAAAGGCTCCAGCATTGTGCTTCCTTGCATTACATTGATGACAATATCAAGTCTTTATTGAATGGACTATAAAGATAAAAATAAAACCATCTCTTCTTCACTCCTACCATGTTTTCTGTCACCATTTAATTATTTTCCTTCAAACACAAAAACAATTGTTTGTGCAACACACTTTGTTTCCATAAATGCTCAAAGTGTGTGAATATGAGGCATGTGAACGGCTCTTGGTTGCTAAACCTCTCGCCCAGGGTGTCCAAACTCAAGCTACTCTGAAACTAAGCTACAAGCTACTCATAAGTTAAAGTAGTTAAGCTACATTAAAG